CTCGCTCTTTTTCTTGATCACTCTGTTTCGGTCTCTATTCGTACAACTCACTTTCTCATTTGACACCCACTCACTCAATCTTGCGCTTCTCCCTTTCCTATTAATTTTTCTCCAGTTTCTCCCTCTCTATTTTCTTCTATTTTTTCATATGCTCTCTCTTCATCTTCATTCTCCCTTCTCCATATCCTTCTTTCTCTATCTTTTTCTCTCTTCTCTCACTCTTTCTGTCGGTTTTTCTCTCTCTCCTCTCCCCTCTCTCTCACTCTCTCAATCTTTCTCGCTCTCTCTCTCTCCCCCTCTCTCTCTGTCTGCATTTCTCTTTCATTTTGTCCCTTTCTTTTTAAATACCCTATTTATCTCTCTCACTTACTCTGTTTGTGTTTTATTTTCTTTTTTCTCTCTACCACTCTCTTTCTCTTTTTTCGCATTCTCATTTTCTTTTTCTCTTTCCCTCTCACTCACTTGTCAGTTGTCACGTTGTCAGTTCAATGGCGCACCCACCCTCTTATTCACTCTCTCTCTTTCTTTTATTTGCCTCTGTATATCATTCTCTCTCTTACTCACTCGCTCATAATTTTGGCTCTCTCCCTCTCTCCTCTCTTTATCTTCTCCACCTTACCTTTGAGAGATTTATTCTCTCTCTCGCTCCCTCCTTCTCTCTCTTTCATACTCACTTTCCATTTCCCCCACTTTTTTATCTATCCCATTCCATTTTTCTTACTTTTCCCTTTTTCTCTTTCTTGATTTCCCTCTCTCTCCCTCACTCTCTCTCTTTCTCTCTTATCCACTATATTTTCTATTTGTTCGCAATTTCTCTCCCAAGCCAACGTGATTGTGCTTATACACTTGCCAAAACCTTTTAAATTTACATATTTGTTATATTCTTGTCATTTGTGGAAGGTTGATAAAATAATAATAAATAGTAAAAATAAGGGCCAATATTTATACATTTTTAATCTTGACGTCCGTTGTCAATAATATAAAATATGAGTCAGAAATTTGTATGGCAATAATAGATCTGATCTCTCTACTGAAAATATGGTCCTAATCTGCCAAGAATATACCAGGATAATTATATTATTATTAACTGTAATATTATTTCAACGGGCAGAAATAATGTATTGTATAACAACATATTAGTAACATTGCTTTAAAGTGAACACCAATCTCAGAGTATAAAATCCTTATTTATTTTCACCCTATCCTTTAATATTATTATATTGTGTCTTGTTGGTCTTGTTCGTTCCCTTAGATCACCAACTACTACTCCTAGCTTTCCTCCTGCAATTAAATTGTTCTGTGCAATTAAAGACATAGTTAATCTTTATGTAAGGTGTTGGTTGAAATAAAAAAGCCAGTGTCACGAGCGGGATTCGAACCCACGATCTTCGGCTAAATACGCCGCGGCTCTACCACTTGAGCTATCGTGGCTTCGATCCACTCGGACACCAACTCTCCATCTCAACATACAACCTTTTGAATTTTTCCTTCTCTTTGCCATTTTTCAAATTTCGTGTAATAGGATTCGATTCTCGGCGACAAATGAAATGGCCGTGGTGAATCTTTAGTGAAGATATACTTCGTTTCACTTATTAAGAAGGGAAAATTCGAAAGGTGAAGGTTGAGATGGAGAGTTGGTGTCCGAGTGGATCGAAGTCACGATAAGTCAAGTGGTAGAGCAGCGACGTATTTAGCCGAAGGTTGTGGGTTCGATTCCCGCTCGTGGCACTAGCTTTTTCATTTCAACTAAAACCTTACAAAAAAGATTAAATAATTGAAAGAAGCTCTTTTATTTCAACCGATACCATAGATAAAGATTAATTAATTGAAAGAAGTTATTTGGTCAATCGGACCACGAAATATAATGGATTTATTAAGAAATAGCATTATATCAGTCTTAAGAACAAAAACGTTTCTCACTTGAAAATACCTAAGTGTTTTAAGAACTTTATATATATANTTTCTTATTTAAATTGCGATTTTGGGCATTGCAGTTTATTCCCCCGCAATTTGTATTTTCTTCCATTTCATTTTTCCGCTCCGGCAGCCTCAAAAACCTCTGAAAAAAGAAATCTTGCACGCACAACTTTTATTCAAACATTAGCAGGCATTCAATGATATAACAATTTGGGAAAAGGCCTAAATCTCATTATATTTTTATGGTGTCACGAATACTGAGTTACCAAATTTTTTGTTCGCTACGCAGGCAATAAAATCCTAATCCCTTCTTTAGATGTGGAAGGAGTTGTTCGGAGAGATGAGGCCTTTTTGATGGTAGCCTATAAGGGACGGAATAAGATAAAGGCCACAGGCGGCGGAGAAAATGAGATTCGAACTTACAACCATTTTAAAAATTACTTTCAAAACTTCATCAAAAGTTTATTGGTTATTGAAATGATAATAAGACACGTTAAAACGTCGACGTTTCGGTTTATATAAAATTCACGTTGCGTTTTTATCGTACGGTATGCGTGTTTTTTCTTGCATGGCATAAACGAAATGGTCTATTCTAATTAGGTTTATTGTACATACTTTTTTGTATGAATTATTATATATAGATAATTTTATAATAGAATAAAGAATAGTGATTGTAATCTTCCGGAGTCTATTCGCCAGGTATCGAATACATTAAAACCTGTTCTAGGCTGTGTAGAATGCGGCATGTTTTCGTCGGTTTTGGGAGTTGGCCAGCAACTTTAGGCCCGACTCAACAAGTATAAATGCCTCATTTTCTTAAACAGGAATTCCGGTTTTTTTGCTTAGAATAGAAACTCGATGGATCTAACTTTAAAGTTTTATTATTTTATTAGTTTTCTAACTCAATTAGTTTCTTATTAACCGTACATTAATATATTATCGTTTTTGTTTTGCTTGTTCGATTTTTACCTTTTTTATATTTCTTGGGTGTCTTTTTTTTTCTCTTTTTTCAAGTGACGAAGATTGTACGAAGTTATATTTTTTCGCTTACATGTAAAAATTCATTTGGTTACCATTGACGACATTATCGAATCGATAAACACTGTTATCTTTAAGCGAAATAAGCTCGTATCATCACTTTAGATAGGGCCGACTCTTAGCAGCAGCATAAGCGATTGAGAAGAGTCTTGATTAAATCAAACGTTAATACATGATTAAAACCTATTAGTTATAAAATCTATTACCTAAATTACGCTCCGACTATAATGTGAATAAATAACTACGCTGAATTATTTTCATTAACACAAAAGTAATGATTGTTTTGTATGATTCTAATATAGGAAAGGTTCATAAAACACTGTTGCATAATGCATTTTTTAATAGTTACAAAAGTAATTAAGATAAGGTAAAAGGTAAGATAAAAGTAATTAAGAAGAAAGTAAGATGCAAAAATGAGTTGGATTGCCCGTTACATCGAAGGTTGTTAAGGTTGGCAAGCTTACAAACTACAAAGTTAAATTGATTAGTTGTGATGACTTTAACGTTGCCGTTAAATTATAAAGGTGTTACTTTTTTAGAATTGATTCACGTTGGAGAGTAATTTTGTGCGTAAAAATAATTGATTATTTCATTGCAACTTATAATTGAGATGATTAAAAAGGAGTACAAATTTAAACTTGTTTAAAAGCATTTTTGATGCTTTATTCAACACACTTAAATATTCTTACTAACAAAATCGAAATACAGACTTGTATAAATGAATAGATATGGCCATTTGGCATTGAGAACTATAAATATTTTATGGCCGGAAACTACATGACCCATCACAACACTTTTTTTTTGCTCTTTTCTTTTACTTCTCATATTTCATTTCTTGTAACTCATTTTTCTGACGATGTAGCCACGTAATAAACTCATACTACTAATTTTACGAGTATTAGGGTAACCGACTGTTTGGTTTTTCTCTTTTGCTGCCATCCTTTCTTTCTTCACCACAGGGCCTTGTCAGTTAGACATAAAATATACGTATACTATATATACAGTACGGTACTTCATTCTCACTGCCTACAGTAGTCGATATTCCTCGAGTTCTTTACTTTTACTGTAATAAATAACATTTACTATTGATACAAATAAGGCCTTATCCCTTTTCATCCAAGCCAGTAAACACAGACGTATACCGTACATCTCAGTACCAAATATTTTATCGGCGAGAGGCCTGCTCCTCCATTCACGCTAATAAATACATTCGTCCTAATAAATTTATTTATTTATTTTTACGAGGGTTCGCAACAGCAGAGGTGATATCAACCCTCGGGGTGCGGGTGTTTTTGAAAAAAAGCTCATTTGTAAGTATGTCGGGGTTGAATGCAGGGCCGTTGGATTCGAACCCGGGACCTTTACCTTACAGTGATGAGCGCCGTGTCAACGCCTAAACCGTTGCGGCCACCGACGCCCCTCGTCCTTAACTTAAATACACCAAGATTAAAACATTTAAAAATATTTACGGCCCTGAGGTCTTGCATTGGTAATTTTTCGTGTTTTGTGCTCTGGGCATACAGCGGAAGTGAGGCCGTGTGGTCTCGTCGAGGCTAAATTTCCTACCTTGATTGCTTCTTCGTTCCCGGTTATATCTAAGCGCGTGGCTATTATAAAATAATTCTCGTAAGGTTAAAACTGGATTTTTCGTATGTTGCTTCAGATCATGTCAGGAAGGATTTGATTAATTTTGTAAATAAGCCAACTCCCTGTTAGGAACATTTCAATAAGGCTTATAGTAAATTTTTTTTTACATAAAAAAGATTTTTTAACGGCTCTAATTATCCTTCAGTATTTTCAATTTTCTCTCTATTTTTTTCCCACTTTTACCTTTTAATCTTCCTTTATTTTCTCAGTTTCTATCTTTTAGATATTCTCTCTCTCTCTCTCATCATCACCTCTCTCTTCCTACTTGACTTTTCACCCAACTCTTTCCCACTCTATATATATTCCTATCTCTTATGTATTTTTATTTCTCTTTCCCTCTCTGTTTTTTCTTTCTTTTATCACACACTTTTTCACCTTTATTTGTTGCTTTGTTTCAGATCGCAGTTTCGTTGTAGCCAACGCGCAGCAGGATTCGTGTCACATCATCTACTGTTCTGACGGTTTCTGCAGATTGTCCGGCTACAGCCGGGCCGAGGTCATGCAGCGACCGGCAGTCTGCGACTTCCTCCATGGTCCCCTCACATCTCAACAGGCCGTTTCCGTCGTTAAGGAAGCCCTCGCTGCGGGGACGGAGAAGCACTTCGAAATACTTTATTACAGGAAGGACGGTAAGTTGAGGCGGCATTTGATTATTATTTTTCTATTTCCCTTGCAGCAATTCAACAGTAATCAACCCATTAATCGAAGGGACGTTTTTAATTGTTGTCTTCTACTGGACTTAAAAATTGATTCCCTAAGGGTAGACTAAGGTGGTGCGACATCCCTCTGATATTTAGCACATTTCAAAAGAAACTTAATTATAATTTCCTTTATAAGTGCTTCTTTATAGTATACGATACTATTGGAAAAAAAAACAGACGTAAATAGTTTTACCTTAAGTTGATGCCGTCATATCATTGAAATGATGATTTTACAAGCAACAATTACTGAGCTTTCACTGTATGGACCATCCATTGCTATTATATAATAGCTAATCTTCTATAAGAAAATATAACTTTTGAATCAGAAAATACGCTTAATTTGTAGGCATGCACAGAATTGAACCTACCCAGGTTTATACAGATGTTTGGTACTCAAACTACACAATCACGCTAATAAATACACTCCTGCACTCATAATGATTGGGTACTCGACATTTGTATTATAACTATGCATATGTAATTATTAATTATTATTATTAATTAATACATAATAATTATTTATTATTATTAATTATTCTAATTGAGGGTCGATGTGGTACCAATTTTATTCCACCCTCTACTCTCTTGGACTCATTCATCCTCATAAATACATTCTTGCGAACCAATTATCACAAAATATATCTATCACGTTTTATTTATACAGTAATAACTGTATAGCCTACATCAAAAAATCTATATTGCATACAAAAACTCACTTGTTTCCTCCAAAAATCGAACCAGTAGACCCCCAATGATCGGTTGTCATACACCATCATAATTATCACATCAACTGGCATTTCTACTCGCTTTTTGTTGGGAGCCATGAAATGATACTCATCAATTAAGTGGGAAATATGAAGATTCGGTACATATTTGCCGGCTTTGACTCTAAAGTAAGTGTTCAAATGTCAACTATGTATGACCCATCCTTAGCCGAATACGGACGATCCTCCTGCGAGTTAGATTCTCTAGAGATTATCATACTTTCATATGTAATATATAATGACCTTGGATAGTTGTTAATAATAATAAAAAATCGCGTAAGGCAAATTTCCGGTACAGTAGTAGATAAGTCAAAATATTCTCGGATTTTAACTTAGAAATAATTTTTATAATACTTGAAATTTTCATGAAATAACATTATAAATTAATGCTCTATCTGAAACTATTTCGTAATGTGAATGTGATTTTGAGATTGGACAACCTGTACGTTGGAATGTTTAATCTGTTGAATTATTTTAAAAAATGTAATGAAAATGTAGTATTTTTTCTGCAAAAAAATAGCTTCTTCTTTTTTAGAATATTTAAGTTTGGAAGCTATTTGAGTTGGCATAAATCGTTTAAGTAAATCTTTCTGTTATTGGCCTAAAATATGCAATTTTGTTTTTTTATTTTTAAGTTAAAATATAAATTGGTTGATGGTTTAATTTTGAATCTATAAGTTCGTTTTTAAATAACCGATTAGAGCTTAATTTAAATATTATTTTTTTAAACTAATTGGCTTGAGAATTATGGAATAAACTATTTTTTCTTACTGGACCATTGAGACTTACTTTAAGACCTTTGTTGTTTAGCTAAAGAACATAAGGTCAACGATAACCACATTAAAGCGTTAATCAGTAATAATCCAAGGTATACCACAGTACAGCGGTAGTGGCAGAAACTACATTTACAGAAACATGGGTATGTTTAATAACTTTGTAGTTAGAAGTTTCGATTTAACCGAAAGAATTTAGCCCAAGTTCTATGTTTTACAAAAGTGGTTAACATGTTTAAATTGTTAAAAAAACGAAAATGAAATTTTACATAAAGACAGTACAGGAAGTCTTCAGATAGAATACAAAGTGAACCATTTCTTACATAAAAACGATTGACATCACACCTGTTTATGCATTGATAGACAGGATGTTTTATTATGAATTGATTCTTGAAAACGATTCAATCAATTACATCGATCACTGTTCCAAATCGTCTTACTAAACGTAACTATCAACGAAAAAGGCCTTCATTTAACTGTCCACTAGGACAGCTGAATAATAAATGATCCGTGAAAAGTATTGGTTTACAAGATTCACATAATTGATCAATTTCAATTTTTTTTGTATAAACACATTAAATAAATAATTTTTCTATTATAACTGAGGAGGATTTTTTTTATATTTGACAAAATATAACGTAATATCTCTGCGCATAATATTTGATAAAACAACTTTTTTGAATTTGTAGGCACCTTTTTGATGAGTCTTCCCCATATGACAGAACTAAATTTAATAACTATGATTTTTTGTATGTATTTGTAAACACTATAACGATCAATAAAACAAGTACGATAATTGATTTATTTTTTATTTTTTAACTTATAAAAGAAATTTGAAGTAATTATGTAATTGTTTTCTTATTATTTAAATATTATTGAATTGGACGTTGAAATATTTTTTAGATATATTGAAACATAGTTCTATCCTGTTTTTTGAATAGTTTTATTATCAATTAAAATGCAAAAAACTGTTAGTTGCCAGTTTTCTTGAAGGATTGTAAAAATTCGGAAACTTTAGAAACTACAAAGTGAAACTGATAAGTTAAAACTGAAATTTTTAACGAAATTATTTTTTGACTAAAGTAAGATAGCCACTTATTCAAATTTTATTCTCAAATTTCATTCTGGCTGTTTACGGTAGAACCAAAAACAGTTTTTTTTTATATTTCCCTAACTGGCTAATGCAATTTAATGAAATTTAACAAAGTTAGTTCGGCCAGGAATAATTTTTACAAACTTACAAGGAGCTTAGGAAGCGGTCGTTTGATTTTGACCGATTTCAGTGAAACCCTTTCTGCTGATGCTTTGCTGAAAAAGACATTTGTTCAAGCGTTCTTGCAAATAAATAGATCTTACATAAAACAAGTTTCTGTTATTAAGTATTTATTATAATTTTTTTACCTACGTTTTTCTACCTTACACCTTTTTTTGCATGTGTTTCATGGTTATAATGTATACCTTAAATTAGATTGAATAGATATAAAAGTAAAATAATAAAATACGCTGGTTGTAAAGTATGCTAGAAAATAAGTTTATGAAAAGTTGGATTAGTATAAAGCACCATTTAATGGCCTTAAATACGATTTTTCCCTGATTTCCCATGTTACTCTCGATATTCATACCACTTATGGATTTTTTCCAAACTTTTGTGTCATTTCATTTAGATTAAAGAATTATAAGTTTCCTGAATATTGATTTAGTAATTTCAATTACCATTTTTGTGTTTTTTTGAATCGATGGCATTTTTTTTCGAAAGGCAAAAAGTTTGAGATATTTTTTCCTGAAAATTTTGTATTCTTGTGTATTTTTGGGTCCAAAAACGACTATCAACTTTGTTTCTCGCAAAACAATATTTTAACCAACTTTGCGTCGTTACTCGGTCGCCATATTATATTGTATTTCAAAAAATAGGAATTTAACCAACTACTTCCCCTTGTAAGTCAGCAAAGCCCATGGTGTTGAGCATTGTATTGTCGAATTTCCTTTCTTGATTAATGAATATGTCGTTAGTCCACGACCGAATTTAATATTGAATAATAATATTGAACAGTCAAATCCTGAATAATTTGAAAAATTTCGTCATTTTCGGTTTTGAGGATTTATTTTAGATATCCAAAATATATTTTTTGTACTCGTCCAAATAAATTGTTAGGTAAGATATGGCTTTTGTATTACAAATACTTTTTCAGACCGTGAAATTTGAAATACAGTGTGAGTCTAATTTCTGAACTCATCTTAAATTTGTTAATTGATTGACGTAGTTTTTATAACTTGAAACACTAGTTGAACAGATTTTATTTATATATTGCTGTACAGCTTATAAAAAATCTCGTTCAACAAACTAAACGAATATTATTTTAAATTCTTTCTATTAATTTAATAATTTGGGAAAATTTCAATTAATTATACTTAGATATTATAATTAGATAAATTAAGGTCATATATGGATTAATGTTTAGTTAAAATTTTTACATTCTAGGTTGTCTATTTTTTAAACAAAAGAAAAAGTGAGAGAGAGAGAGAGAGAGAGAGAGAGAGAGAGAGAGAGAGAGAGAGAGAGAGAGAATACAATGGAAGAGAATAGAGTTCTATTCAGCTCAAAGAACAACGTTCAGGATTTGGCTCGAAATGCATAACGATTGAAATATATGGCATAAAAAATTATTGTCGTTTTAGTTATGAAAAAATCTCCAACAACCACAAAACTTTTCCTTTGTTATTATGCCTTACAAAACAGTTTTCCTGAATTCTCTCACCTGCAAATGTATTAAAATGAATAACATTTAACAGAGAACAAAAATTTAGACTGTTATATATGAAATAAATTTTTACCAAATAAGTTGTTATTCAATCAATAATCTACATAAGCATGAATTTCTGCATGTTATTGAATATTTAAAATTATTAAAATTAGTTAATATTTAATTAAAGAACAGTTATTCTTAATAATAATAATATTCAATAAATTAGATATCAAGAATCTTGAACAGGTCTTATTGTGTCATCAATATTTATCAGCGAGGATTTTATGGTCGAAATTAGGTTTTGGTCAGATTTTTCCTAAATAGATATCTTTTAAACTCTCAATAATAATTAACGGGTTTGACTTGAATGGCCAAATCCTTGTATTCAATATTAAGTACGCATTAAACAATCCTGTAATAGACGTCCAATGACCAAGGAATTAATCGAACGATCAAAATATTGATATTTCGCAATTGTAGCATAATAATCCACTGCTGGTGTCATTTTGACCTGGCGTCTGCTTAATTAAATTGGTAAATTAACCGTGGCCTTATGTATTGTCCTGAGCATTCGGACGTTAATTACCGGTCCCATAACGCGCGCTCTTCCCATGAGAACATTCTACGAAATATTGGACTGACATTAT